ACCGTTACGTTACTTACGTTAACTTACTACTAACTAACGTAACTAACGTAAACGTAAACGTAACGTAACTAACTACTACGTACTACTACTACTACACTCTCTCTCTCTCTCTCTCTCTCTCTCTCTCTCTCTCTTCTCTCTCTCTACCATCTTCAACAGCACTGATCGAATAAATAATTCATTGTTTGCAGCTGAGAAATTGGGAGCACCAACCTCTCCACCGCCCTATCTCTCGCTCTCTAACATCTTTAATAGTTTCAGTTCCATCAGCAATGGCGTTAGTTTTGCTTCAGGAGGAGCCGGCATTCTCGATGGCTCTTCATCGAAACCTCTGGTAAGACTCAGCAGAAAAACCACCCCTCATAGAGCCAGAAAATATTCCTGATAATCACTTGACTCTTGCATTATAATTTTTGAGTTGCAGCAAGAGTGTCTGTCATTGAATAAGCAAATTGAGTACTATTCAGCAGTCTATGGAGATATTGTGCAGCAACTGGGAAACAATGGATCGCAAGTTTATCTGTCTAAGTCTCTCTTCGCACTCGTGATTGGGAGCAACGACATTCTTGGCTATTTCAAACCCAATTCAAAGCTTCGTAGCCAAATCTCACCGGAAAACTTCATAGACAACCTCATCCTCACTCTCAAAGGCCAATTACAGGTAGTCACTCATAACTGAATGTCTACACATTCCATAATAAAATCAATTTGAAAGAGAAATTAATGTACAAAACAAGAGACTCAGGAGAGAGAGAGAGAGAGAGAGAGAGAGTGCAAAAATCCTTCCTCATTTTTGAAGTGCTTGATTCAACAAATTCATGAAACTGTGGAGGTGCTAATATTGTGAATGTGAGCTTATATTTGCAGAGATTATACAACCTGGGTGCGCGAAAAATGGCAACGGTCGGAGTGGGGCCAATTGGGTGCTGTCCTGCGCAGAGGAACCAGAACAACACTGGGAATTGCAACCAAGAAACCAACTACTGGTCTCAAAAATACAATGAAGGGCTCCTCTCTCTCTTGCGAGGCATGAAAGCACAGTATCAGAACTTCCACTTTTCTTTCTTCCATAATTACGATGCTGTTCTCGACTTCATCGAAAACCCAGCAGCCCATGGTAACAAACAACTCTTTCCATTTGTTTCCAGCCTAGATTACTCTCGCTTCATGTGGATTTGGACATCAATCTCCCTCTACAGTTTCTTGTGTGTAGAATGAATCCCTCTTTCTCTCATGGGACTGGACTTTTCCATTTTGTAATGGAATCGGTCCTCTGCTTTGTTTTTCATTCTCTTGGATTTGGGGTTTTCATTCTCTATTTCATTGATCTGGGTTTTAATTTTTTTGTTGCAAGGTTTCAAAGAGGTGAAGGCAGCTTGCTGTGGTCTTGGAAAATTCAACGCTAAAGTGGCATGTTTGCCCATATCCACCTATTGTTCAAATAGGAAAGACCATGTGTTTTGGGACCTTTATCATCCAACGGAGACTGTTTCTCACATGCTCACTGACGCCTTCTTTGATGGTTCAGAGCCCCTCGTTACCCCCATTAACATCAGGCAACTGCTAGCCATGTGATACTGATTTTTTTTTTTTTTTGGTGATATTTGTATAAGGTGCCCACCTTATTTGTATAAGGTGCCCACCTTATACTGTGCAAGTAAGACACACCAGTAAATTTTGTTGGAAGATATAGTTCTAATGTTAGCCATTTTATGATGGCTTGAAAATCAATGTTCAATCTTAATTATAAAATTTTAAATTTTAAAAATGGTGCAGATCGAGTAGATCTATAAACATTTGAAAATACACCAGATAACTTCTTATAAGATGCACTATTTTTAGGATTTAAAATTTGTTTTCTTCTGTATATTTATTGCTTTATATCTATTGATCTCGAGATTAAGATAATCCATTGGAAGGTTTTGTAACTTAAGAACTCTCTTTTCTATTAATTTTTAAGGTGAATACACCTTATATAAACATTTTTTCCTTTTTTTTTTTTTTTTTTTTTGTTTTTGACAAAGGCATGGGTGGAGTGAGTTTCTCAATCTCTTCTGGATAGTTTTGCTATTACGAATAATTGACGGGTAACTTTTGTAAATGATTCATGAAACCCTATGGTTCCTCATTCAAGTGGAAAAGGGAAAGTCACTCACTCTTGGGTACCAACATTTGCCTTTCTGATGTCTGTGTAAATTGGGCCTTATATTTGGTTGTCAGGTAAAGAAGAGGCACAATAATAACATTTGGATATCCACAAAAGATTGTTTGCTCTCCTCTAAAACATTGTTTTCTGTTTTTGCTTAAGAGGCTTAAGACAAAATACCATGGTCAAAGCAAGGTGAAAGTTCTACTAGTAACAAATCTAACAAGGATATACATGGATTATTTACCGATTCATTAAATTTGTTTCCCTGTAAAATCAGATTGCCATTTCTCCTTATAAATTCTCATCGCAGGGTCAATGGTAGAGCTCCAGCCGCTTCTCGATTTCACTTATTGCTCACTTATTGCACTTATCTCTGATGACAAGGAGTAATTGTGAAGTTTAAATGATCTTATAGTATTTCTTATTTTATAATAATGGGAGAGGAAACGATACTTTTAAACCTTTTTATACTTTCTCCAGGCTTTTCTCACCATCAGTGATTTAAAATATTTGATTTGGATCAGAAATAGGTGATCTGGATTGGCTGAATTACCTGATTGCCACCCATTTTTTTCTATTTTTTATTATCTAATATTTTAAATTTAAACTTTATGATAAAAAGTTTTTTGAACTTATTCTCACACTGGAGAAGATGATCCAGCCCGAATCGGCGTTGCAGATCAATCCACCTCCTCTAGATTCAAGTTGTAATATAATGTAATATAATTGATCACCTTGATGTCTCAGGAGAAATTTCCTTAGACTTCGGGTGGAGAAATGGTTGTACAACTTATGGTTTAGGTGTATATGATATTTGTGTACCAAAAGAAAATGTTTAAATGATCTGATTGTTCTCCTTGTACATAATTCCTTGTTGGCCCAAATACTATGGTCTTTTTGGTTTTCTGAAGTAAATAAAGCTGCAGTAACATACAAATTGGGTTTTGAGTTCAACTAGAAAATCAACAAACATATAGCATGCAACACTTTCTAACTTTATATAAACTACTTCAAAAGCTTGCTATAAATTTCATTAAGACTACAAAAAGATGCATAAAGTTCACTGATGTTTTCATCCATAAAAGAATCAAAATCTAAAATCAATTGCAATAATTGTAAGCCTCATCTAAGCAACTCTAATGTAATTTTCAGCATGCATTTAGTCATAAAAAACCCAATATAAATCACTCCGACAAACTAAAATGATGCTCTATAATATTTGCCCTTAACTCATGCAAAATTTCCCAAACTTCAAGTACTATCCTTGATACAAAGTAGGGAAAATTATAAACCCCAAGGCCACACTTTCTATGCAACTTACCCCCAACCTAAGTTTTTCTCTCATTTTTTTCCGAAAAACACACTTTCTATTTTAATACCCCCCAAGGGAAAAAGTTCATTTTTTTAGATGAAAATGCACTTCTCGTACACAGAAATCAATTTGGCCATATTTGACGTTGACTTTCGGAGCTCATTGCTAAAGCGAACCACTGCAGTGCCAGAGTGCATGATCCACTGTCAGAGCGCACATACACAGTGCTGGAGCATTGTGACTTCAGATTACACTGCCAGAGTGCATTTACACAATGCCAGAGCGCATGATCCACTGCCGGAGCACTGTGACTCCAGAGTGTTGCACTACTAGAGTGCACTTGTACAGTGTCAGAATGTACTTACATCGTGCCAAAGTGCACTTACACAGTGCCGGAGTGCACTTACACAATGCCGGAGCACATCATCTATTATTGGAGTGCACATACATAGTGTCGGAGCACTGTGACTCCAGATTCCACTGTCGGAGCGCACTTACACAGTGCTGGAGCGCATGATCGACTGTCGAAGCACCGTGACTCCAAAGTGTTGCACTGCCGGAGGGCACTTACATAGTACCGGAGTGCACATATAATGCCGAAGCGCACGTACACATTGTCAAAGCGTGCGTACGCATTGTCGGAGGGCACATAGATAGGGTTGGAGCTTTGTGACTCCAGAGTGTTACACTGCTGGAGTGCACTTACACAGTGCTAGAGCGCACATACATAGAGGAGACAGAGGCATGGGTAAGGTAAAAGTAAGGAAAGGTAGTTTAGGCATTTTTTTTATTTTTTATTTGGTTAGGGGGTATTTGCATAGAAAGTATATTTTTTGAGGAAAAAAATGAGGGAAGTTAGGTTGGGGGTAAGTTGCATAGAAAGTGTAGTCTTTGAGGTTTTTGTAATTTTTCCTATAAAGTATGAACAAAAACTTGGAAGAAACTCACCAAATTCATAGAGATTTACATACCCAATTTTGTAGCCTTTCTAGAGAGAAACTTGAAGTGTTTTAATAAACATATTACATAAGAGGGAAGATAAGCTTGCTACAAAACAATGATTAACAAATAATTTAGAGAAAGAAGCTACTGTAAGATGCAACACTGTGCTGTAATTTATCTTGTGATACTGGAGAGCTCTCCCAGAGATGAGAGGCATGTCCCTAGTACCCAACTCACAAGAAATCAACTCCCAAGAAAGCTTAAGAGAGAAAGAGGTTTACGAGAGAGAGTCGGAGCTCACACAAGGTGCCTGACCTCTCCAAAATCATTTCTCATATGTAGCCACAAAAAGAAGAAAAAAGTTCATATAGATGCGAGGCTGTAAATAATTAAACTAGGGCGTACATTAAAAATTTCACTAGAATAGGTTGTTTTGATGCCCAAATATCCTCAAATTGATTATCTTGACCTAAAATGCATGAAAATGAGAAAAAAATGGATCTCAAGTTTTGGAAATAATGCATCAATGCATTTTTGGACTGTCAGTTTTCAAGGTTTCATAGATCTGCTCGATTTACACTATTTATTAAGCTTTAGATTTTATAATTTGAGATAAAAATATATTTTAAAACTATCACAAAGATTTTCAATTCTGAAACCACATTTTTCGACACTTTTTGAAGGCGCACTTTACTTTAATTGTTTAAAGCCTCGGCTGTATACAAACCGCACCCAAAGGAGAGTGAGAGAGGACCCTCATAGAGAGATAATTGCCGAGTGTTTTCTCAATGGCCACTTGTCTCTCTCATTTATGCTCTTTCTTTTTCCCTATATAAATCATTAGTTCCTTTTAAAATTTATTTTTAAGTGAAGTAGAAAATAAAATAAAATAAAATAAAAATTGGACCATTATTTTCACAAATATTTTAGAAAAACACTCTCCTTAACATTGTAATATTTGCTTTGACACTTTAGATTATTAAATTGGGTGAAGTTAACTTTGTATGAGTTTAGTAGTATGTGTGTATGTTTTTACCCAAAACCAATGGTTTAAAAAGCGAATCAGTGACTCGGATCGGGCACCTAAACAATCGATCTGGATCGGCTGAATCGGTCGGATTAAAGCTTCAAAAAAATCAGAAAAAATTATTAAAATTCATTATAAATATTGTTTTTTAGGAATCCAATAAGAAATGAGGGTACTACATTATTAACTTTCATTTTTTCATCAATTTGTAAATATTGAGATGCTTTTTCCCTGTATAAACTTATGTTAACTATTAAATTTGCATCACATAAAAGAAAAATCATAGAAATAGCATAGATAAAATATATAATTATACATGGACTATTATAAAGAGTAGACTAATCAATGAAAGAATGACCATTAAAATCTCGTTTTGGCGAAAGACCCTAATCCGCTAAAAAAATCTAAATTATTACAATTTAACTAACTATAATCCAAAATTATTAAAACCTAACTAATTATAATATTATATAATGAAATTATAATTATTAGTTTACATTTTATAATTATTTTATTAGAAAAATAATAAAAAATTAAAAATATTTTATAATATTATCTAATTTAAAATGTATTATTGACAACTGTAAGAAAAATAGTACATTACGTGATTTATAATGTAAAAATTAATAAATAAAATAACAAATTTGGTTATCAACATAAAAATTAATAAAATACGTACAAATTTTTGAAATAACACTTCAATTTTTCAAAAATTTATTTTTTTAGGTTTCTATAATAAATTTAGTGAAAGTGATTGTTAGTAGAAAGATAGAGATTTCAAATAGAATAAACTTTTTATTTTTTATTTTTTTATGCTCTTCATATTATTTTAAAAAATAATTATACCACTATATACAACAAAAATTAACTGTTATACAAAAAATTAATTTTTTTATTTTTCATTTTTTTATGCTTTTTATATTATTTACAAAAATATTTATACACTATATACAACACAAAAATGTAAGGCTCACAGGGGGACTCGACCTTGAGAGGTCACATGAAAAAGCAAAGGTCTTAACCACCACACCACCTCATCACATATAATTATAACTTGCTGATTAATAGAATATATTTACATTCTATTTCATTTAATGATGTTTGGGAATTATCCCACATTGAAATATATTCAACTTTGGTATATAAATACTTATGTAATATATCAAAGCATTTGTGTACAAATATTGGAGCAACCTCACATGTGTCGCACGCGTGCATGTGTGTGTCGCACGAGTTCACGGGAGTGAACCGGGTAAAACCGGATGGGAACCGGCGGTTCT